GCGGAATATTCTTTTTCTTTTCAATTATGATGTCATTATCCTTACCAAGTTGAATTACTTAATTCATTTCCAAAACATTGCCTGTATGTAAATGCAAAAGGCAAACATCTATACTGAATAACCTCATAACATAATTACGATCATTAACTGAGTCTCTAATCACGACACTACAACACGTAAGCCAGACAGCCCTAATAGTTTATACAACCCAAAGCTAATCAACCACATAATCCAATGTGGCATGAACAATCCCCATGCTCACCAAATAAGGCAACAAGGCCCAACAACAGTCTCAACAATAACAACATAATCATAAAGATAACATAACAGTATCCAGCATATAATCATAACAGCAAACATCTAACTCAGCTCCGACCTTCTGCCGCTAGAGGTCTCAACCCCCGCATTACCTGAACCTGAAATATGTGCCCCAAATGTGGGGTGAGATCTCTAAAAAGAAATCTCAGTAAGACAAGGGGTCCTCAAGGATCTTCCACCCCAAGCTCACTTACCTATGCAATCAGTTCTAAAGCAGTTTACACAATATATATAAGTTCCAAAGTCAGTGTAATGCACAGATAACCATGTCATGTGTGCCAATATAATCTACTGGCCAGAGAAATGCAGGATATACGTCTATCTCCTACAAATAGTGCAAGACGCTAATTGCATCCACCCCAGTCTCACCATTTTGTATGTCGCTATATACTCAGGCTTACCGTCAAATTGGAACAACACATGCATATTATAAGGCCCTTACACATAACAGTTCAAAAGCATTCCAATCATCAAAGCATGAAAACACATCATGCATATAAACCATTCCCCCATGGGGTATGGTGGAACCAACAATGGCTAAACCAAGGACACGAAAGCTTACCTTGCAAGCTAACTATCCAAGCCAAGAGTCCACACAAGCTCAAAGCCCACAAATAGCTCAAGCACAATCTGTTTTAGACCAGCAATCATATCAACATTCATCATCTAATAATTCAAGACACAACAACAACATTTTCTTCTTTGTTTCATGTCTTTAGGCTTCTCACAAAGCCATAAGCCCTTAATATTAATGGTTCTGACTTAATTAAATTATTGCAGAGGTTCATACAATCATTTAAGGGTCCAGAAACCCAACCCACGCTTCTGTTTGGGTAAAATAGCTCAAAACATGATTTTCCCAGAATATCCCGATATTTCTCGGGGACATATCCGGATATCCATATCCAGATATTTCCAGACCACATATCCGGATATCCATATCCGGATATTCACAAACCCAATATCCAGATATTTCTAGACCGAATATCCGGATATCAATATTCGGATATTTCCAAAAACTACGTCGTTTTAATTAATGAAGGATGCTTTTGTAATTTTAGATTAATTAATGAAGGGTGTTTATGTAATTCTGTTTATTTTTTTATCATATACATTTTACTGAAACACCCTTTATTAATTCACCTAAAATTACAGAAACACCCTTCATTAATCAAAACGACGTAATTTTTGGGTAGTTGTAGATAACGTTATCTAAAGTAGCTGTTGAAATGTTTACCCCTATATATATATATATATATATATATATATATATATATATATATATATAGGCTTATCGTTTTTCAAGCTGCTTGAGATAATTTTATCTCCGACTACTAAATCATAACCGTACAAAGATGGATCAATGATGATAAAGGAAGAGAGAGAAAAGGGAATCATAATCATTCAAAGGTAAATCAATTAATATAATGAAATAAATAAATAAAACGACGTAGTTTTGGATGGCCGAAGATAAACTTATCTCAAGCTGCTTGAGAAATATTTTTTCCTATATATATATAGGTAAAATCATTTCTGCAGCCACTTTACGTGTAGCAACGACAAGTGTATGATTATGATTCCCAACATTTAATGCTTTAATCCTTTTTATGGTTATGATTCCCCGCATTTAATGCTTTCAAGTATATATATGACAAGTATTTGATTGATGTACGTACAACAGCTGCATAAATTAAAGTCCATATATATATATTACAATATTGAAACGGGTGCGTTACAACTAATAAACAAAGGGTTATGTTTATCTCATTTTACATGAGATAAACATCTCTCCTACACACAAAAAAGGGTTGGGTCCCACCACTTTTTTTTTCTCTCTTCTTGCATGTGGGTCCCACTTATACTTTTATTTCTACAACATGAGGTATTTCTTTTCCTACAACATAAGAAAAATATATCCCATAAACAAAACACCAACAAGTCTCTTGACTGGCCTTGTTTGCTTAAAAAATTGTATTTGCCTCGATTATTGGTTAGATTAAGACGAAGTAAAAACATATGAGAAATATAAATAATCAGATGTCATGAATTTATAATGTAGGAAAAACTTGTAAGATAAAATATAAAAAAGTCCTAAGGTAAATTAATTAAGAAAAGTTAAGTTGCGCTTGATATCGCTCTAATTTGTTCATTGTCACTTGTGTGCTATGTAGCACTGATACCGACACGGGACACGTGACACGATACGACACGACACTTCGACACGTTAATTCTAAAAAATGTTAGATTTCAACACGTTAGGGCACATTTTGATATTAAATAATATTTTTAATTTATGTAATGTATATTATATTTAATATTTAATAATTTAACAAAAAATGAATCTAAACTTATAATATTCATAAATTTTGCTAAGAAACATAAGATACCCAAATACTTATATTAAACTCAATAAAATAGTAATCGTAATCCAACGAATCTAATAGTTGGAACTAAAAACTCAACGCAAGTACGCAACGCAACCTTTAAACCTTTTTTTGAATTTCTATAAAGCGTGTTGGAGTGTCTGAGAGTGTCGGAGTGTCCGAGAGTGTCGGACACAACATGTCAAGGTTTTTGAAGTGTAGGTGCTTCATAGCTTGTGTGTAACCTTTTTCTTTTCATTCTAATTAGCTGTTATTTATTAAATAGTTAAGACTGTTAAGTTAAGCTACTGGTTTATTTTTTATTTTTTTAAGATAGATCTCCATATCATGATGAAATTAATTTTATGTTATTTGTTTACCAAAAAAAAATTATATTAAAATTATTTTTGCTTAATTTAAGGGATTAATATTTTTTCTGCAGATACATACAAGTGGGTGTGTCCTATGAAAAGAAAACAGAAAAAAAAAAGAATCCACTCACATGTATGTGCAAAAAATAAATTATCTCATATTTCTTAGAGAAATATTAAACCCTATTATTTCATTATATTTTTAAAAAGTTAATGTGGTAAGATGTCCAATCAAATAGATATGAATAGTTAATTTAATTAAGTTTATTAACTATAAATTAAATGAAAATAATATTTAATATTGTAAAAAGATATATTATATAAAAAATCAAATTTAAAGTTTAATAAAAAAAGTTAAAAACTCATTCATTAGAAAATAATATATTACAACATTAAATAATCTAAAATATATATTTAAATTTAATATATAAGGTTTTTTTTATCAACTTTTATTGAATTAACTTATAAAAAAATAATGACAAAGCGTGATGCCCGATCATATTAATTAGAATAAATAATCTTAACACCTATTTCTGATGCACTTATATTTTGTTCATTAAGTATGACCTAAGCACTCAATTGGTTGATTAAAGAATTTTAGTCTCGATTCTCCAAAAAAGAAAAAAAAAGAAAAGAAAAAAGAAAAAGAATTTTAGTCTCAATTACAATTATGTTCTATATGTTCAAGGAAATTCTCCGGTATGAAAGATTTAAATTTAAAATGTGATTTTAACTTGATTGATCACGATCATTTATAAAACTTCTTTAATTATAGGCTGATTCCATTTAGGGAGAGGTTATAGTTACTATCTCTTTTTCTTATTATCTCTTACTACCAAATTTTAACCGTTGATTTCCGTCAATCTAACGGTTACAATTTATTGAAAATTAATAATTAATTAATAAGTATGACCCAATAAATTACAATCGTTAGATTGACGAAAATCAACGATTAAGATTCAATAGTAAGAGGTAATAAGAAAAAGAGATAGTAAGTATAACTTCCCTCATTGATTTAACTATTTTCTCTTTTTAGGTTATTTAATTTGTAAATTGATCTATAAAAATATGTTTAAGACCCTATTATAAATGAGTTGAATATTTTTATTATTTTAGTAATTCAAGACCCTATTGTAAATTTATAAATGTTAAAAATTTTATATCTATTTTTTTTATAATTATCTATAAATTTTAATAGAATCATTTATCTTATTAGATACAGAGAAATAAACACAAAATTTGGATGTCTCACATAATATAAGGAGTAGATCCTCTAATGTTAGTTAACATGATTATACGTAAAAGAATTTTAATGAGACAAAGATAAATTAATGGTAATAAAAAGGGATAGAATAATGTAATACTTAATTAGAGTTATTATCAATATTATTACCAATCAATATTACCGTTAGATCGATTATATTGATCAAATAGTTATATTTATTTCCATCTTTGTATGATTATTATTTTCGATATTTAATATAAAAACATTAAATATGGGAAGTCAAAATCATACAAAAGTGAAAATAAATATAAAGTATTAAATATCAGGAATCATAACAATATAAAGATAAAAATAAAAATAATCATTGGATCAATATAATCGATCTAACGGTGAAATTAATTAATAGTAACCTTAATTGATTATTAGACTATCCTACCTCAATAAAAAAATAGAGAGAAAAATATTTGAACAAAAAATTACAAAATCATCATTATTAATTTGATTATAGACGGTAAAAATCCTCTCAGATTACAACATAATAATAATAATCACTAATCAGCGAATGAGATTTGGGTGTCTCAAGGTTTCCGCGTAAGGAGTAGACTTTCCACCAATCCAATCTAAAAGGCTTTTATTTCAAAGTGGCTTCCAACTTTCAACGCAAAACAAAACAAAAACAAAAGAAAAGAAAGAAAAAAAGAGGAAAAGCAAAAATCAGTGAATGAAATTGAGGCATCACGACACTCATAAACGTCTCATTCATCAATCAACAAAGCAAACTGCTTCTCTACTCTTCTTCTCCGTTAATCTCGCCCTCTTCTCTTACACTCTTTTCAGTTTCAGATTCATCGCAATTCCAGGTTTGCAGAATACCCTTTTGCTTTTTCAATCCAAATTTCTACTTGGTATGTTTGTACTAGTGTTGTTGCTTGATCAGTTTTGACTTTGATTGAGATTTTTTTATTTTTTTTTTGTGGGTTGTCTTATTTCTATTATTGGGTTTCTGTTTGGATGGTCAGAACATGTGGGGAAAGAAGAAAAAAAATAAACTTCTTATTTTTATTTTTTGGTGATAGGGCATTGTAGTTGTCCAAAAGTTTGTAATTTGACCATATTCTTGGTGCCGCAGATGAGTGATTTTGACATGCACTATGGATTATTGAATTATAGTGTGCTGGATTGGTGTTCATGATTTTAATTCCATTGTTTCTGTATGTATATATGCTTTTGAAGAAATCTGGAAGTTTTGAATAGTACTTTTAAAATTGTTCTGAACTTCATGGAGAGTAATTCATCTGGTTTCCATTAGTTTCAAGTAATGCTAATATGGAAAAGTAAAAGCTTTTGGAATCTTGTTGCAGAATGAGGATCTTAGGGAATGCTTCACTTTTTCTGATTTTCGCGACTGATTATTCCACTTTTGAAATGTTTAGGTTTAGTTTTCACTTTAGTACTGCAGTTGTTGCTCTGACAATTCCTCTACTTGAAATTGGATAAGTTATGATCAACATTTCTCCCTTTTTCTTCGTGATTCACATAAAAAATTAGCCCTTAAATTATTTTTGTTTTTGTTTATTATAGCTTCCAATTTAATGATTGTGGAATGCTTCTATATACTCTTATGTGTGACGAAGTTTTACTTCCGGTAAGTTATTAACTGTATGGATGAAGCTAAAATTTGTTGATTGGTTGCCATTTATTTTCCTGCTTGGACAGAAGTAGCAGTTAATGTGCCTTGGATTCTTCTGGAGAACAATGGAGCCTTGATTTTTATGTCTGGTAAAATGAGAACCTTGTTTGGCAAAACTTCTAGTGTTTAGTGTTTGGTGAAGAATATATAATACAGCAGCTCAAGAGGTGATTGAATAAAATGGAAACTACTAGGCGCTGGTTTAGTAAGTTCAAGTCAAATGATAAAATGAAATCTGCAAAACACAAGGAAACTACAGGCATGACAAAAGAAGGTTCAAAACCCCCAACAAATGAGGAAGCACCTTCGAATGTAACCAAACAGAAGGTTGAAGCTGCGAAGCAGTACATAGAAAATCATTATAAGAAGCAGATGCAGAGCCTGCAAGAGAGGAAGGAAAGGTATCTTTACTTCATTTTATATATTTTTGGTCGTGATAGCAGTCCAACTGAAGAGTTTTGTACCGTATGAAGTAGTTGTTTTAACACAGTTATTGTTATCTCTGAGCGGATCAAAATAAGATATTTCCTTATTGGCCTTGCTTTTTGTTTCCTAACAAGTATTCTTCAACCCTTGATTCTGGAATGTAGTATTGTATTTGTACGGCATTCTTGACTTTTTTGTCTCTGATGTGGTGTTATATATTGTGTGAAAATACCTTTTTCAAATGGAAATAGTTTTAAGTCTTTAATAAGGCCTATATTCTTTGTTCTTTGCAGACGTGATATGCTAGAAAAAAAGTTGGCTGATGCCGAAGTCTCTGAGGAAGAGCAGAGCAACTTGCTTAAATATTTGGAAAAAAAGGAGACGGAATACAGGCGCCTTCAGAGACATAAGATGGGGGCTGATGACTTTGAGCCCCTAACTATGATTGGGAAAGGTGCATTTGGAGAGGTACACTCTACCTTTATATGCATCCAAGTAAAACCATGTTTATAGTTTTTCCTATATTTTTGACCTTAATGATTTTTATATTAGCAGATCCTTGCAATAATGTTACTGTGTCCTCCAATAATTAAAAGGACTTGAGTGATATGCATGTGTGGAAATTGGAGAGCTGATTGAAACAAATAATTCTTATTATGGGTTTATAACTCTCTTTTAGATTCATATCATTCCTGTTCTTTTCTATTGTCATGGCTGTTCCTGATATTTAGAGGTGAACGGGAGTCTTATGTTTTTAATCTTATTGTGTAATGGGAACCATATTTACTTAATTAACACTGGTATGTATTCTACAAGTTACAATGCGTATGTTAGAAAAATGTAGATTGGGGATATAACTTAAGGCATGTCAGGGAGAAGTAGCCCTTCAAAATTGTTAATTGCGGTGGATCTTTAATTTCCAAAATTGGTAGTGGTAATGGAGTTCTACCGTGAAAAACCTCTAATTTAAAAATCTTGATAACCTTGGTATTTTGACCCTTTGCTGTTTTGAATTGTCTGCTATAACAATGAATTCTATGAATTATTCCAGTTGCAAAGTAAACTCCAGTCTGTGTTATGCATGTTAGCTGTTCCATCATAGACCGGCCCATGGAATTTTATGAGGAGGTCGGCTTGGAGACATAGTGTATATATTGCATAGCCTCTTTGGCTAGTAATGATTTTTTATTTCTCTTGCTGCATAAATAACTTGTATTTATGTTGCATTCTGTAACTTCAATATTTTTATGTTTCTCATGCGGATATTTTATCAGATGATTCATTACGATTTTGCATTTTCATCTTTTTACAGGTTAGAGTCTGTCGAGAAAAGGCAACTGGTCATGTATATGCTATGAAGAAGCTTAAGAAGTCAGAGATGCTTCGTAGAGGCCAGGTATTGAAATTGTCACATTGTTTGAGTAAATATATTTTTCTTATACTTATTGGATACTTTTTATTTTAGGTTGAACATGTCAAAGCTGAGAGGAACCTACTTGCAGAAGTTGACAGCAATTGCATTGTAAAACTTTATTGTTCCTTTCAAGATGAAGAGTATTTGTATCTCATAATGGAGTATCTACCTGGTGGAGATATGATGACATTGTTGATGCGGAAGGATATACTGACAGAAGATGAAGCCAGGTTCTATGTTGGGGAGACTGTCCTAGCCATAGAGTCAATTCATAAACATAATTATATTCATAGGTAAACTCAAGCTGTAAACAATAACACCAAATGATGGAAAATTTTAATATTCTTACTTTTATGACATGGACCAATTATACTTGTCTTACAGTGATCTTCTTGTGGGTCAATAAATATTTGATATTTTGATGTTGAAATGCATTCCAGAGACATCAAGCCTGACAACTTGCTGTTAGATAGAAATGGTCACATGAAATTGTCAGATTTTGGATTATGTAAACCGCTAGACTGCAGTAATCTTCAGGAAAAGGACTTCTCTGTTGGAAGTAACAGAAGTGGAGTCCTTCAAAGCGATGGACGTCCTGTGGCTCCTAAACGAACACAACAGGAGCAACTGCAACATTGGCAGAAGAATCGGCGAATGCTTGTAAGACCCCATATAAGATAGTATACATAAACAGGCATCAGGTTGACACTATAGTTTTAGGTTAAAATAAACAATTAGTCCTTAGAGTTTCATATAATTTGGACTTTGATCCTTATACTATTTCTGGAGTAGATTACTATTTGGTCCTGGAAAGATGATATTGGTGTTGCTTTGGTCTCCGAAAATTTTTGTTTATACAAATTGGTCGCCAAAGTTGTCAACTAGCTACAAGTTCATCTATTCAGGGACCAACTTGTATAGATAGAAACTTTCAGGGTCCAAAGCAACACAAGTAACACCTTTCAGTGACCAAATTGTATATTTACTCATTTTTTTGTATATCAATCACTACAGTTTCACTACAGTTTCTTAGCACAGGTAGGCTGGGCCTATTGCATTGTCCACTCTTCAAGCCCAATGGGCTCTCGTGTGAGGGGGCGTGTTGAGATATATAGTCCCACATTAGTTGTATGTGCAACTAATGTGGCCTTTATAAGGCCTTGGGCACTTCCACCCTTTGAGCTAGCTTTAGAGGTGGTGTATCCCAAGGTTCTTTACATGGTATCAGAGCCTCGCCGTCTCCCACTTTCTCTTGTGGAGTTTTTTAGCACAGGTAGGCTGGGCCTGTTGCATTGTCCACGCTTCAAGCCCAAAAGGGCTCTCGTGTGAGGGGGCATGTTGAGATATATAGTCCCACATTGGTTGTATGTGCAACTAATGTGGAGTTTATAAGGCCTTGGGCACTCCCACCCTTTGAGCTAGCTTTTGGGGTGGTGTATCCCAAGGTTATTAACATGGTATCAGAGCCTCGTGTCCCGGGTTCAAATCTCGTCGCCCCCCACTTTCTCTTGTGGAATTTCTTAGCACAGGTAGGCTGGGCCTGTTGCATCATCCACTCTTCAAGCCCAATGGGCTCTCATGTGAGGGGGCGTGTTGAGATATATAGTCTCACATTGGTTGTATGTGCAACTAATGTGGAGTTTATAAGGCCTTGGGCACTTCCACCCTTTGAGCTAGCTTTTGGGGTGGAGTATCCCAAGGTTCTTTACATGGTATCAGAGCCTCGCCGCCCTCCACTTTCTCTTGTGGAGTTTCTTAGCACAGGTAGGCTGGGCCTGTTGCATTGTCCACTCTTCAAGCCCAATGGGCTCTCGTGTGAGGGAGCGTGTTGAGATATATAGGCCCACATTGGTTGTATGTGCAACTAATGTGGCCTTTATAAGGCCTTGGGCACTCCCACCCTTTGAGCTAGCTTTTGGGGTGGTGTATCCCAAGGTTCTTTACACACTCATTTGAATTTCGGTTCTTGCAGGACCAATACCTTAATAATTTGAAACTATAAGAATGGGAAATAGGGACCAATACTTAATAACTAGAAATTATAAGGACTCCAAATTAGTTAAAACCATAGGGACTAATATCATAATGGTCGGGACCAAAATCCAAAAAATTGAAAATATAGGCACAAATATCCTAAAAATAAATTATAAAAACCGAAATCCAAATCTAGTGAGACGATAAGGACTAGTTGTTTAGTTTAACCTTTTTTTTTTAAAAAAAACTTTTGATCTTATTAATTGAACAATTTTTGTGTTTCTCACAAGCATACATATTTTACATTTTTAAAAGTTGGATATTATTATGTATAATGCTCTAATATCTACAAAATATCTTAGACAAGGAGATTTTGCATAATAGACTAGGATAATTTATGTTATTTTAAGGATAATTGTGTTATCTTATTTATAGGGATCTTATGTTCTTAGTAACCTTATCTTATTCTTAGGGACCTCATCTCATATGTAGTAAGTTATTTGTTTCCTTTTTTTATTGGGATTAGGAATCTAGCACTAAACATAATTCCTAGTAAAAATAGAGGTTAGTGTGTTGTCTTTTGTAACACATAATTAACACCATATATCAATCTACTATTTTGTTATTCGATGTACCTAGTCTCTTTGTCCCTCTTTTACCTTAAACCTTATAATTTCAACATGGTACCAAAGCAATGCCATCCTTTGTGACCTGTCCTGTCCTGTCACTATCTCACTATTGAGTTCCCTAAAATCTGGAACTCTGTTTTATCTTCATGTATTTTTTTTCCTTTTCACTGTGCACAAATTCTGACCACCTAAAACACTTGACTTTCATCTTTCCAACTCACTGCGTCTCTTGCTGTGTTCTCCTTCATGCACCCTCTATCTTTTTATTGCACCTGTCTGTGTGTCTTCTCTCTCTTCAGTGCGTCTTTAAACTCAATTCCTCCACCACCATTTGGCTCTGGCATGTCCAGATTGGCTAGCGCATAAAATCACACCACTATCAAAGCCTCCACATGCTACCTCAAGCTCACAACATCCAGCAGCTTCTGGTGTAGGGCATGTCCAGTGACATTTCCGGTTGCCGTCCCCTTTTGACTTGATCGCATTCTCTACTCAAATCTTCGTTATTTTGTCCAACCGTGCATTAGGTTGTTGCATATCTTTGTTCAAAGGCTTTCAAGTATATTGTGGTTTTAGTTTTTGGCCTTTGTACTCTAACTCATGGCTGCGTCTAGCCCCAAAACTGCCCCATGGCTAAAGCACCTGCTTTTCACCTTTGGCGGTTACACTTCGATGGTGACATTTCTTGTCGCTGATTATTCCGGTAGTTCATTGACGATCATACCAATGGTGACTTTTCTTCTACTAAGAATTATTTAGATGACTTTTTCTTTTACCAAAGAGTCATTCAGTGATGTATTGGCTATGATTCATACTGGTCCCCCATTGTGAATCATATTGATGGTGATTTTTTCTTATCTCATTGTTGATCATGTCAGTGATGAATTCTCCATGACTTTGGTACACAGTAGTGTTAGTATCGTTTTCAAAGTTTTTGGGTTGGCAAGGTTGTTCTACCCCATTTCAAGCTTCAAAATGTTGTTTAGAGATGTTTGGGCCTTGCTATGCATGATAGCTTGCCAAGAAATGTTTTTAGGCTGATGACTCCAACAATGCTCATCCCTTTGGTATCTCTAGCATCCTTGACTTGTTTTTCCCGCCATTGTTTATGGAGCACACTTTATTTTTTGTTATTGTCCTTTTTAAATTATTTATTTGTGTAAAGAACCAATTCAACCCAAAAGCTTAAGCTGCTGGGTGAGGCTACATTAATGGTTTTATATATCTCAACACGTCCCCTCACACGAGAGCCCTCTGGGCTTGAAAGGTGGACAATGCACAGGCCCACCTACCTGTGCGAACAAAGAAATTCCACTTGAAAGAAAGTGGGGGGCGGCGAGGATCGAACCCGGGACACGAGGCTCTGATACCATGTAAAGAACCAATTCAACCCAAAAGCTTAAGCTGTTGGGTGAGGCTACATTAATGGTTTTATATATCTCAACAATTTGTAACAAACTTATTTATTTATTTTTTTTTTTTGGGGGGGGGGACTATTGAAATATCTACAAAATATCTTAGAGGGAGAGAATGAGGCATAATATATTTGGATAATTTATGTTATTTTAGGGATAATTGTATTATCTCATTCTTAGGTATTTTATTTTATCTTTAGTAAGTTAGTTTTTTGAGGGTGAGCCTTGGAGCAACGATAAGGTTGCTTCTTGTGACCGGAAGGTCACGGGTTCGAGTCTGCGTAGCAGCCTCTTTGCAAAAATGTAAGAGTAAGGATGTGTACAATCGACCCTCACCTCTACCCTCGCAAGTCGGGGAGCCTTGTGCACTAGGGTTTTCCCTCTCCCCCCCCCCCCCCCCCCCCCCCCCCTTTTAGTAAGTTTTTCCCTTGTTTGAGTAGGATTTGGAGTCTACCACTTGACCTAAGTCCTAGTATAAGTAGGGTTTAGTACTTTGTCTTTTATATCACATCATTTACAGCATATGTCAATCTACTATTTTGTTATTCGGAGTCTCTATTCTCTCTACTTAACCCTATAATCTCAACATATAAATTTGGTGACCACTAATTTTTGCTTCGGTTTTGGCAAGTTTTTGTTCTGTGCAAAATTGTATAATGATTCTATATAGATTGATGGCATTTTAAGCTTTTCTTTCTTTGTAATACTGCAGGCCTATTCTACAGTTGGAACACCGGATTATATTGCTCCAGAAGTTCTACTGAAGAAAGGATATGGCATGGAATGTGATTGGTATTATTGAATATGTGTTTCTACTTTGCCGTTTCAAAAATCTGTCCAAGCCCTGCTTGGTTTTATGAACATCTTATTCTTTCAATATATTCTGATATTGTGTCAATGCTTCCAGGTGGTCTCTAGGAGCTATAATGTATGAAATGCTTGTGGGTTATCCGCCCTTTTATTCAGATGAACCAATGTCGACTTGTAGAAAGGTAATTTCTGGACCACGTGCTGATGGATTGCATTGCATCATGCATTTGTGTGGGTTGAAATTTAGCACGTATAGGGCTTCAAATCCATTAAATTCTGCAAGGTTCCTGTTCTTAGTAAAAGCCCATCTTTCTGTATTAGAATTTAGAAGTACATGCTAATTAGAAATTATGGTATTTCTAGACAACCTTACCATTGATATTTTCCTGAATCTATTAAGACTATATCACCCTTACTCGTGTATGGATGTCCTAGATATCTGATAAACATATCATGTTTCTAGTTGAGACTCATGGTTGTATGTCCAACCTGCAAGCATGTTTGTTGCTGTTTCTTTTGGTGGTTGGCATCCAATATTATACATATTAATAGATTATAGGTGTGTACCACTATTATAGGCTCGTCCTCTTTTACTCACCCTTCTAGTTTGGTTTAGTTTATTTTTTATTTTATTTTATTATTTTTTTCCTTGTGTTTTTTGATTCCGACTTCTTATTGGTCACCTTTCAGTAAAGAGGCTATCCGCTATCCCACTAGAGCGGTTTTGGAGTTGGCCGCTTGGCTCAGCTATCCAAGATTGATAACAATTAAATGTAAAAGAATATGTTGTGTATTGATCTGTGTAAGAGAGTTACAATATATAGAGACCCTAATGGGCTTAAGTGAAAGGCCCAAACCTAATCCTAATACAATCAGAATATTTACGGATAAGACGGAATCCAATCATATCTAATAATATCTAATCATATCATATCTAATATTCTAACACTCCCCCTCAAGCTGGTGCGTATATATTATTAGCACCAAGCTTGTTACAAATGTATTCAACCCGAGGACCTCTAAGAGCTTTAGTGAAAACATCTGCTAGTTGATTAGCCGAGTTGACAAAAGCTGTCTTGATTTCTCCTGACTGAATCTTTTCCCGAATGAAGTGACAATCAATCTCTATATGTTTGGTCCTCTCATGAAAAACAGGATTAGAGGATATATGTAGCGCAGCTTGATTATCACATATGAGTGTCATGGGTTGTTTCTGTTCACAAAGATGAAGCTCCTGAATCAACTGCTTTAACCAGATCAACTCACAGGTAGTATTTGCCATTGCACGATACTCAGCTTCTGCACTAGATCGGGAAACAACAGGTCGTTTCTTGCTTTTCCATGAGATTAAGTTTCCTCCGAAGAAGACACAATAACCAGAAGTAGAGCGTCTGTTCGAGGGTGATCCTGCCCAATCGGCATTTGAGTAACCACAAATTTCTGTATTTCCCTGATCCGAATACAACAAACCTTTTCCTGGTGCTCCTTTGATGTATCGGAGGATCCTCACAGCAGCATCCCAATGTGAATCACAAGGGGAATCAAGGAACTGACTAGCCGTACTGACAGCGAAAGAAATATCTGGCCTAGTCACAGTAAGATAATTGAGCTTCCCAATCAGCCTTCGATAACGTCCAGGATCAGATAACGGCTCCCCCTGTCTGGGCAATAACTTAACATTAGGATCCATGGGTGTATCAACTGGTTTACACCTCAACATACCAGTCTCTTCTAGGATATCCAAGGCATACTTCCTTTGACAGATAGAAATGCCCTGTCTAGATTGCGCCACCTCAATTCCCAAGAAGTAACGCAGCTTCCCAAGGTCCTTTGTTTGAAATGCACTAAATAAATGTTGTTTTAACTGACGGATTCCGTCTTGATTACTTCCGGTGATGATGATGTCATCAACATAGACTAACAAATAGATGCACTTGTTAGGAGATGTAATCCTATAGAATACAGAATGGTCAACTTTACTGCGAATTAGGCCAAACGCCTGTACAACAGCACTGAATCGACTGAACCATGCTCGAGGAGACTGCTTGAGACCATATAAGGATTTTCGAAGACGACATACCTTCCCAGACTCCCCCTGAGCAACAAAACCAGGTGGTTGCTCCATGTAAACTTCTTGTAAATCACCATGAAGAAAGGCATTTTTGATGTCAAGTTGAAGGAGTGGCCAGTGACGAACAGCAGCAAGGGCAAGAAATAGGCGGACGGACGCCATCTTAGCGACTGGAGAGAATGTATCGCTATAATCAAGACCAAAGATTTGAGTAAAACCCTTGGCAACTAGGCGTGCCTTGAGACGATCAACATGGCCATAAGGTCCAACTTTCACAGTAAACACCCAGCGACAACCAACTATAGACTTCTCTGGAGGAGGAGAAACAAGGTCCCAAGTGCCATTGGTATGAAGTGCGGTCATCTCATCAAGCATCGCTTGGCGCCATCCTGGATGGCAAAGTGCTTCACCTGTGGTCTTAGGAATAGAAACAGAAGAAAGACTAGAAACAAAGGTGAAATGAGGAGGAGAAAGGCGATCATAGCTCAAGAAGGTATAAAGAGGATAAGGGTTACGAGTAGTACGTGTACCTTTTCTTTGAGCAATGGGAAGAGCCTCTGGTGAAGGATCCGGAGGGGAGGAATCAACTGCAGGGGGCAATGAGTCAGCAGGGGTCGAGTCGACTGGAGGTACTGTGTTACGACGCTGATAAGTGAGAAGTGGACGGTTCTCAGGTACTGGAGCAATAGGTGATTGCTTATCTGGAGTAGAAGCACCTGCATCTGGCAAAGACAAGTCAAGAAAAGGAACAGGAAGAACATGATCAACCTGTGACAATGGAGATGGGATAGAATTAAAGGGTTGTTGATCAAGAAAGGTGACATCAGCGGAAACTAAGTAACGCTTGAGATCAGGAGAGTAACAACGATAACCCTTTTGAAGACGAGAATAACCAAGAAAAATGCATTTAAAGGCTTTGGATGTTAACTTATCCTTACCAGGAGTGAGATCATGAACAAAACAGGTACAACAAAAAACATGTGGGCATAGAGGAAAGAGAGGAACATCTGGAAACAATAAGTTATGAGGAATATCATTATTAAGCACAGATGAAGGCATGCGGTTGATGAGAAAGCAAAAAGCAAGGACTGCATCAGCCCAGAAGTGAAGAGGAACATGCATGTGAATAAGAAGAGTCCTGACAATCTCAATGAGATGTCTATTCTTACGTTCAGCTACTCCATTTTGTTGTGGAGTGTGAGGACAAGTGGTTTGGTGTAAAGTACCCTGTGTGGCTAAGAAATGAGAAAAGTCAACAGAAACATATTCCTTAGCATTATCACTACGTAAAATATGAATAGAAGCACCAAATTGAGTATGAATTTCAGCAGAAAACTTTTGATAAATAGAAAACAACTCAGAACGGTTTTTCATTAAATAAATCCAAGTACAACGGGAGAAATCATCAATAAAGGTAACAAAATACCGAAAACCTAAAACAGACACACTTCGACTAGGACCCTAAACATCTGAATGAATAATTGAAAAAGGAGCATCAGCTCGCTTATTGACTCGATTAGCAAAGGAGGAGCGTATGTGCTTTCCTTGCTGACATGACTGACAATCTAAAGTTTGAAGACCGGATAAAAGAGGAACCATCTTCTGCAATTTCGTAAGACTAGGATGCCCGAGACGACTGTGGATGAGTTGTGGAGATTCTGTGAGAGAACAAGCAACTGAAGGACTCGACACATCAAGGTAGAACAGACCCCGTGACTCATGGCCCACTCCAATCATTTTCCCCGTACCCGGGTCCTGCACAGAAACAGAATGGTTTGAGAATGTGACAATACAATTATGAGAATTGATCAATTTACTAACAGATATTAAATTATAAAGGATGTGAGGAATGTAATAGACAGATGTCAAGGTCAATGAGGAGGTTGGACAGATTTGTCCAATCCCATGAACGGGGGGCCTTAGTTCCATCAGCAAGAGTAAAAGAGGGTAAATTTTCAGAATATGTAAGGGAAGAAAAGAGTTCCTTATTACCACAGAGGTGATCAGTAGCACTTGAGTCAAATATCCAAGGACCAAGTGATGCAGAATGAGAAACACAAGCAACAGGATTACCAGTTTCTGAAGCAGAGGCCTGAGATTGAGGAGAGGACTTCCTGAGAAGGGCCTGAAATGCTACATGTTCTTCAGAGGAGAGAGAGACTGTACCATTTGAAGCAGTATCCGATTGAGCTATATTAGCAGCAAAAGAAGGTCGCATTTGAGGATACTTTGTGTAGCAGCGTTCCTCATAATGACCAAGTTGCTGACAGTAATGACAACGAGGTCGCTGACCACGTCCGACTGGACCTCCTGGGCCACAGCCTTCTGGGCCTCTACCATGACCACGTCCACCTCCAATATTCCCGCGAAAATCAGTACGGGAAACTAGAGCAGTAGAATCAACAGCAGAAGACGATGCAGGAGCAGATTTCTTATTCAAATTCAGAAGACGCTGATACGTCATGGATAGATCAGGCTCCCCACTAGTCAAGATAGTATCACGGACATTATCATATTCTTCGGGAAGGCCAGAAAGTGTGGCAATCATAAAGAGACGTTCCACCTGTTTCCGATATGCAGTAGCATCAGTAGGGTAAGGCAACATATCCAAATATGCCTGCATCAAAGAGCGACTCTTGCCAATATATGTCTCCATCTGAATGTCGGATGATTTGCTCAATTCCATAAACTGAGAGATGATGAAATAGAGCTGCTGAACATCATTAGTGTAGAGGTTTTTTGCTTCCTCCCATACTTCAGTGCAAGTTTGAAATGAATAAAAGATATCCAAGACGATCGGATCAATGGATTGCCAGAGGATACTCAGAAACTGGTTGTCAATCTTTTCCCAATCAAACTTGTCCTCCTTAGGGACATCAGTAGACTTAGTCGTGAGATGGTTCCCATATCCTTGTCCAAAGAACCAAACTCGAACAGAGGTGGCCCACATTCTTGTAATTAACAGATCCCTTCAATTTTGAAGAGGTAATGGACCCAATATTGGTAGAGATGATATTGGGAGAATTTCTCACAGGAGGAGATGGAGAATTGACCTCCGAATGAATTGGAGAGTTTGCTGCCATAGTATTAAATCACAAAGATATAAACCGAATAAAGAGAAACGAACCTGATCACCAATCAAGAAGAGGTGCGCACAAAAAGTCAGACCCACAAAGAACCAACCACAGATCCAGAAAGAGGAGGAGAAGACGAGCTTCTCTGTCCAAGACCGGCCGGAAAAAGCCGCCGGAATAGTGCTCACGCGCCGGCAGAAGGTGGCGCGTGAAGCCCACGCGCAGAGAAGACAGGAGGCGCGTGAGAGCGCGTGACAACTTCGATGGTGGCCGGACTTCCACAGAGCAGGTCGCCGGGAGGAGAGGATGTTGTTCGCGTTCGTTCCAGACTGAAATCTCGCCGGAAAAGTACTCCGGCAGCCTGAACAGTGGCTGACGGTGGCTGATGGTGGCTCCGGTGACTGTTTGGGGATGTGGACACGTGCAGAAGATGCCTGGAGAGGACTTACAGTCCTTGATGGCTTGCCGGAAGGACGCACGACAAAGAAAAGATGACTCCTAAGCAGTGTGCTTAGGTTTTAAAGCGAAGAACAAGATTTCTAAGCGGAAGCGAGGGTTCCCAGAACGAAATAGCTCTGATACCAAATTAAATGTAAAAGAATATGTTGTGTATTGATCTGTGTCAGAGAGTTACAATATATAGAGACCCTAATGGGCTTAAGTGAAAGGCCCAAACCTAATCCTAATACAATCAGAATATTTACGGATAAGACGGAATCCAATCATATCTAATAATATCTAATCATATCATATCTAATATTCTAACAATAACTATGGTTTGAACCATATAGCCGTATAAGTGTAGCTATTATTTGAAAAATTATCTGGTAGATGTCTTGCAAAAAATGTGTAGACGCATAAAAAACATGAGCATTGCTGAGAATGTAGCTCTGGATTCAACGGGAACTATTAAATTTGTTAGAAGGCTGCAATATGAGTATTGGTTTACTAGGAACATATTTCAGAAAAAAATGAGGTAGTTTCCCAATTCCCCAATGCAGAAAATTGCATCTTTCATTTCTTATGATATGATCTACTTTTCCCCCCTTCTTCTTAGAGTTACTTGTTGCTCGCAAATTGTTTTTGATTCTAGGATCTGTTGGCATTTTATAGTAACAAATGATATTTCATCGTTATAAACAATTTTGTAGCGCGTCCATGTTGATTGCCCACATGTCTTTTTATTTTATTTATCATTTTTGTTCTTTGTCAGTAATTGTCCTATTTTATCTCACCTTCAATATGCAGATTGTAAATTGGAGAACTCATTTAAAATTTCCAGAAGAAGCTAAACTATCAGGAGAGGCAAAGGATCTTATTTGTAGACTCCTATGTAATGTGGAACAGAGGCTTGGAACCAAAGGAGCCCATGAAATAAAGGTGTTGTGGTGTGTTCCTTTCTAAATTCTATAATTTACTTTGGGAAACAGTTCCATAGTAGCCAATAAGTGTTTGGTCATTTTATTTCCAGGCTCACCCTTGGTTCAAAGGTATTGAATGGGACAAATTGTACCAAATGAAAGCTGCTTTTATACCTGAGGTTAATGATGAATTAGATACGCAAAATTTTGAGAAGTTTGAAGAGGTATGTTATATATTTTTATGATCATGGATATATAAGAGTTGATTATTTTTTGTTTAAAACCAGTATCATGCCCTCTTGATTTACTAATGATGTGTAGGTGGACAAGCAAACTGAACCGTCCTCAAAGGCAGGGCCGTGGAGAAAGGTTGGTTCTTGTTATTCAATTTTTTTTTATATAGTTATTTTACAAGAGTTGCTGTAATTGTACCATTGTTAATATCACAGGCATTGACTTTTATGATGTGGGCTCTTCCAGTATCCTATTTCTTATTCTTTGAAGCTTAAATGATACATAATCAGATTATTGGGTTACTTATCAAAAGTAAAGCTGCTGTCATATGTTCCCCTCTCTCTTTCTATATATATATATATATATATATATATATATATATATATATATATATTCTGTTCTATACTTGTATCTACCAATCTAGTAATCTATCTATTACATATTTCCGTTAGTTTCACTTGTGGTGGGCAAATTGCGGTGCACAAAGCTCCCCGAATTGTGAGGAGAAAGGTGAGAGTCGATTGTTCATAGCCTTATCCTTGCATTTTTGCAAAAATGCTGTTTCCCAGAGTCGAACTTGTGACCTTCCGGTCACAAGGAGCAACCTTACTGCTGCTGCTGCTGCTCTTGCTCCAAGGCTTGCCCTCTAACCTGCCATGTAATTGAATAAGTGATGTCCTTTGAATTAGTTGATTAATTTTCCATAGGTTAATTAGTTGTCTTAGGACTAATGTTATTATGCTTGTAGCATACTGCCAATAAAAGCATTTAGTTTGCAAATGAAATTTAATTTGGATGACACTGGAATTTGATAAAAGTTTTGTTAACAGTAACTGTGAATACAATTCCCTCTTGATTTCAAAATCATGGATCATCAGTGTTTACAAGAAATATTTATTGTAATGGTTTGTTGAAGTCTGGGTTTCTTACTATGGTGTGTCATTTGCTGCAGATGCTGCCATCTAAAGATATTAACTTTGTTGGCTACACATATAAGAATTTTGAAATTGTGAATGATCATGAAATACCTGGATTTGGTATGTGCATCATATCTTCTTCCTCTCTCTCTCTCTCTCTATATATATATATATATATAGGATTCATTAGATTTTCAATTATTGGATATAAGGATTTGTCTTGTCACCCCTTATAACTATATACTCCAGGAAGTATATAGTTATAATATTAAAGTTGCTTTTTTTCTCTCTCTTCATGTTAGCTGACAAATTTCTGAAAAGTCGATGAAGAAAGAGAAAAAAAAAACTTTAATATTATAATTATGTACTCCCAGGAATACATAGTTATAAGGGGGTGAGAGGGCAAACCTTATATCTAGTCACAAGACAAACAATAAACCCATATATATATATATATATATATATATATATAGGGAGGGGTTATATTGACAAACTTTTTTTTAAACAAACTTACTAACTACACTAAGTCTGACTAGTCAGACTTAGTGTAGTTTGTAAGAAAAAAAGTTTGTCAATATAACTTTCCTCTTGTATTTATGTATGAACATGGTTATATTTACAAACTCTTACAAACTACACTATGTACTATGAGTAGTACATGTTTCTTGAGCATGTACTGCTCATGGTACATAATGTAGTTGGTAAATATAACCTACCCTTATATATATGTATATATGCGGTAATTGTTTTATTTAACCATTTCATCTCATTTCCATCATTTCCTTTCCAGAATAAAAAAGTTCCTCTTTAATGTATTGTTTTATTGTGTAAAAGATTTTTTTTCCATCATTTCTATTTGTAATTGATTCATTATCGCACTGATCTTCACAATTAATATGGGTATATGTACTTTATCAGCTGAATTGAAGAAGAAGAGCACAAAACCTAAAAGGCCGTCTATAAAGGCCCTATTTGGTAAGAATATCCTTATTGTTTGAAACTCCTATTCTTTTTGGGATATTCCTTTTTCTATCCTGTGATGGTATCGACGATATGTTTCAGATCTATTGGTTCACTTCACTTAAGGATAGTGCTAATGATTCCATTCTAGAACTGCAGATACTTGTTCCTTCTTCTATCTCTGATATTTTAGAATATTGTTGAGATATATAAAATCATTAATTAGCCTCACCCAACAGTTTAAGCTTTTGGGTTGAATTGGTTCTTTACATGGTATCAGAGTCTCGGTGTATCGGGTTCGATCCTCACCGCCCTCCACTTTCTTTCCAGTAGAATTTCTTTTTTCGCACAGGTAGGTGGGCCTGTGCAATGTCCACCCTTCAAGCCCAGTGGGCTCTCGTGTGAGGGGGCGTGTTGAGATATATAAAATCATTAATGTAACCTCACCCAATAGCTTAAGCTTTTGGGTTGAATTGGTTCTTTACAAATATAAAATATTTCATAAAGGGCAAAGGGCTGATATTAGGTTACTGATTAAAGAAGCCATTCATGTTATAAGCTGTGGCTATGAAGAGAAAACCGAATGGGGCAAAAGAGGTAATCCAGTTATTGTTGTACATAAAAATTCTTAAAAAGGGGGGAAATTTAAGATATGTTAATGGTGGGACTCCTATACACATCAAGAATGCATTTTGTTTTGATTACACATTTATTTCCTAAGAGGACGAACCTTGGAGCAGCGATAATGTTACTCCTTGTGACCAGAAAGTCACGGGTTCGAGTGTAGGAAAAAGACTCTTTATAGAAATACAAGGGTAAGGCTGCCTACATTTTTCTAGAAATTAGGTTCTTTTCCCTTTTATTTAAAAATCCCTATTTGGTCAATCAGCCCCTATTCCAGCTAGGAAGCATAGATGCTTTAAAATAATTGTACCTGTGTCGAACACTTACCCGTGTTGTGAACACTTAACAAAAAACGAAAACTTCAGATACTCCTAGTTGCATTTTGTAATTTTTTTACTTTTACTTTTTTGAATTTTTATACGAATTCAAATTGAAATATTGTAGTAATTAGATAGATGATAGTATTTTATTAACTAAGACTAACTTTTGAAACTTAAATTCTTTCTTTTTGTTAAAAATTTGTGCTTTTATGCTAATCTATACTAATTTTATATATTGTACCATAGTCTAGTCATGTCCCATAATTTTTAAAATTTGCTGTATTGCCATGTTCATGTCACATTGTATCCTTTTATTGTGTCATATATCCGTGCTTCCTAGATATGCAGTCTTACCAAAAGAAAAAAGAAAAAAGAAGTTCCTCTGTAGTATATTTTCATAATATCCAGTATATTTCTGAAACTTCTGGTAAGAACATATTTTATCTGGTAATCATTTAGAAATTATGTTAATGATAATCTATTAACATCAACATCAGTTTTGGGATAAAACTGATGTTGAGCTCTAATTTATTTTCATGATTATCCGCATACTTTTCTGCACAGCGTGTCCTTTCGGCTGTCTCGCAAGAAAAAGTAGATTCTCTTAAAGTATCACTTATGGGATCCTGGATCAAAGGTATAGAAAACTATACAGATCTAGTGAAGTTAGGAATCCAAGTTGTTTGTTATACTAAAATCCTAGTTAGGATTGATACACACGAATCTTGCAAGAGGGAGTGTTAGATATAAAACTATTCATGTGTCTTCATTCAATAACTTAAGCTTTTGGGATAATTAATTCATGACAGTTAAGGAAAATATGCTTCATTGCATGCATACTTAATTCTCAGAAAATCAGTTTTCATGAGGCATGTGGTTATTGAAATCAATGGAGAAAAGCACAAATATCTTGTTCCCACTGTATGCTCCACTGCAAACCAGACAGTGGCTAATCCCTGCATCCCTTTAGCATACTGTCTAATTCTCAGTTTTAAGAAATGTTGTTTCCATGGCTTGGATTTTTCCAATGAAATTATCCCTTATTAGCATTTGGTGACTCACTAAGCATGGATGTCAAGTGTGTATGGGCTATATGTGGCTGTGTACTGATTAGATAAACTTCGGTATTATCTAAAGATCATGGTTTTATGGCTATGATGACATTGCACAATAGCATAATTGCTCATAACTCTTTCTTTTATTTATATTATAATGTTGCATGTGAACGTAGCACTAATAGCCTTTGAAATGTGTTTACAGATACAAATGCTAATCCAATCCAATAATAATTTAGTTCTAACTAATCATGCACAAGTATCCTGCTTTTGGAAACTTCCATATCCCCAATATCATTATCCCTTTGACATCAGAATTTCATTAATCGTGAGAATCTCCTATTGTAAGTCACCATTATTCTTTTTTGGCACATAACATTGAAGCATAGGCTACCGAACAAGCTCAAGAAGATCTTATGGCTTAGGTTGATATATGTTGTGGTTTAGGTTGTTTTATTCTTCAATGAATTAGTTTTATTGTATGATACAGATGATGAATCTGCAATGACTGCCAATCAACCTGTCAGAGGGAGCTTCTTAAACCTCTTACCTACTCAAATGGAAGTTCCTGAGAAAAGTGGATCACAATGATCTAATTTAATAATATTTTACAGGACCATGGAGATATATATATGACCAAATGTTGATGACTACTTATTGTTTTACACTTCCAAACATTCTTTTGTTAGTTTGGCATTGATAGTTTTGGAAGCCAGGGCCATGAAATTTCTGGTTTTTTGGCTGACTGGGATATTTGTCTGTGTAGAAAAATCGTTTAAGGTGTATATTCTTTGATTTTCCTTTTATCAAGCTACAATGTGTTAAATATTATAGTTATTTCTTGTAATTAAGTTACTGCCGAGTTGCTGATAAGGATGTGCAATTCACACATTTGGTGTACTATATATATAGAGATTGATTGGTTTGTAGGCTAACTTTCTCTCCTATCTGACTTCAAGGTCCAAAAAATTAAATCTCAAACCTTCTTTTAAATTTTAGTGTCACCTTTTTTTTTTGGTATTGAATTACATTATTCATAAAAGTTAAAAAAAGAAAAGAAAAGAAAAATTGTGCAATGGCTTCCAAAGGCCTCTGAGCCTCTTATTTTGACAAAATATCTTGATTGTTATGAATTTCAATACAATTCTAGCATATATAACTAATTATGTGTCAACATTGGCTGCTGAATACATATACTGCTAATAAACAAGATTATTCTTTATTTGGTTACGTTTCACTTCCTCATTTTTATTATTAGCTTTTGAAATAACCCATTCCCTAAGTGGATATATTGACAGTCTTTCTTGGGAGCATTTTTTCAAGATCCTACTCTTCCAACTGTTTAGAAAATTCTGCAAAAAACTAAGATTCTTCATTTCTCACTAGAAAAAGTACACATTAATAACTGTTCGGCATATATATAGCATTAGAAAAATATTTTTACAGTTAATGCAAGATAAGTTATTTGTATTTATTTTCAAAACGATGTCTTTTTAGAATTGAAATTTTAAAAAATTTAATTATAAAGATTATAATAACCCTGAAATAAATTAAAATTACAAAAATACCATGATTTTCATCCCATAACATCGTATTGGACTTACTGCAAATAACTTATCTATATTAACTCCAGAAAAAGCAAACCCATATAGCATTCAGGTTCTAGATAATATAAGAAATTGAGTAACTTGTTAGCTGTGTCCAAGTGTCACTTGTATGGCCGTGTATAAATGTAAATATTATAATGTGGATTTTGGGGTGAGATTTTGGTGCAAATGGTCGCTTTTGATAACCTCAACAAAGCTACTGATCAAAATGATAAATCCATTTGTAAAACCTATTAAAAGGAACTAAACAACACATCATGATTAACTAAGGTCATGTTTTTCAAAACTAAGGTCATGTTTTTCAAATTAAATTCACCAAACCCATCAATCGACTTCATGACTCAGACAAACCTGAAACATTTACTTGGGTTGGGTTATTGGCAATGATTTAGAAAATCATAATTTTAAATATCAAAAAGTGCGAATAGATAGAGATTCGTGAAAGTACTGCCCATATTACATGAGACATTCTCAGATATACCATGTGTAATATAATCCTTAAATAAATGGATTGCCTTACACTGAGCATACCTAAAATATTCTAATTTTACTTTGGATTAATTCATCTCAACCTTATAAACAACTCTAAGAATAGCTAAAACATGATTTAGCTGTTGGGGTTGGCCCAATGTCCTCACAAAACCAAACTAAGAACCTCATAGATTGTGCAACCCTAAAAATGAATCACGAGCACTTAAAGGCTTCCCACCACATTACACTACAGGCAGTGTGCAATTTTGGAGTTCTAAATGGTCAGCAAAAAACACATCCTATTCACCACAAAAATGGCAACGTTTCAGAATGGAATAAAGTAAAACAAAGTTCAAAAGTATATAATAAGATGCTAATTGCTAAACACCATGAAAAGATAAAAGAATAGAACACACTTCATAGCTACCTCCCAAAGCCTTAAAAGCCTGACATGCTCCAAACAGTTTTGAAATTACACCAAAGCTTCATAATTTCCACCTGCACTGTTGCACAGGAAGTCTCCTGTTTTTCTCTAATCCATATTAGGAGCCACATACTATTAACTGAGAGCAATTTCATCCCCTCAGTGTACTACATAGTGACAAAAAGGACAGGTCTCAATTATGCACAGAAAAGGTAGAAAACTTGCAAAGCATATTAGACTTTGCAGTTTCTCTTTCCTTTTCTTCAACAGAAAAATATGGAGAATATATATTTGTTACAAGATTGAGACTCTTCATGAATGAATCTGTTAGAAATATTTTGTAATTAGGGTTTCCTTATTTTGTATTAGGTCAGATTATATTAGGTTTGAGCTTAGCCCATTAGTCTGTTTATATATTGTACAGCCTTCATCAGTCAATACACACAGAAATATTTCAAATGTTCCTCTTGTTATTTAACTTGGTATCAAGAGCCTAAGGAACTTTAAAAAAAGTTTCCGATGAACCCACTGTTCATCGTCGGTTAATTTTTTTTTTTTTTTTCCGGAGCTGTCTCCTTGTCACTTTTCGGACGCTTCTCTCTCCGCATACAGCTTCTGTCTCGTCCAGAACCACTGTCCGGTCACCTTTTCCGGCGATCCACATACCGTCGTGATCGTCTCCGCCGCGCGGTTCCAACGCCACAGGTCTCGTCCAATTTCTAGGTCACACGCGCCCTCACGCGCGCGTGACAGCTCGGCCACTCTCCGGCCGCGGCTGGTTGCGATCTTCTCGTCTCCTTGCGTAGGTTCTGGATCTGGTCTTGTTTTTGGTGTTTGCACCTCTTTTTGTGTTGACGCACAGATCCCTCGTCTACCGGTTGGTTTTTGACCTGTTCTTTCTGCTTTTTTCCTTTGATTATGGACACTCATGTCTCCAATGTTTCTGTTTCTGGGACTCCGGCGGGACAAAATTCAGAGTCTACTATTTTCTCAAATTATATCCTTGCTCCGTTGAGTGTGGATAAATTGGATGGGTCCAATTATGATACTTGGTCTTCCGATCTGCGACTCTGGTTGGATGGGCAGAATTATACATCCCATCTCATCACTAAGGTTGAATCTGTGGCGGAAAATGAGCGCACACGATGGAAGATGAATGATGCTCAGTTGTGTAGTCTCATTAAAGCTACTCTTCATCCGTCTATCAAGCAGATTTTTCGACCTGCTGTTACCTGTGAAGCTATTTGGAGTCAGGCAAAAGCTTTTGTGACTTGGTGGTCTGAGAAGCAAACATCAGGTCCTACTGCATCTGTAACATCCCCGTCTCGAGCCGGTTCAATTAACATACATATGATAAAACAGAAAACAGCGGAAGACTTAACTTCTGAAAATACGAGCTAACTTTTTCTTTTTCTTTTTAAATTCTCATTCGTCGTGAACGAAAATCGGGCAGAGTTTCCTCTATAAATCGGACAACTGGGGATTTTCCAATCCCTCACAGAAGCATTTCCTGATAAACAGTTTATACAAATATAATCAAATGCCCATCCATGGGCGCATGCATAACTTGGCTCAGTGCCACTATATCTAACAGCATGCAATCCAACACGTAAACATATCTGAATACTACCTCATCATATAACGTGCCTGAATACCCAAATGTACATGCATCAAAGCGACAGACATGTACAAAACATATACAGGCCATATACACAATAAAGGATCAATATCATGATCCATCAAATGCGAAAATACTAAAATACATCAAACACTCCAAAAAGGTAGTAGCCTACAGCCACTCAAAATCCAATCTGTCAACTGCCTCAGCCACGTGTCGTGTCCCTGCCTAGTGAGGACTCACCGGGAATCTGGGCACCTGAAAATATGTCCCCAAAGAGGGGTGAGATTACAAATCTCAATAAGCTCCAGGTTTATAGAGAATTCTCCATACCCCTGGCTCGCTCCTGCATGAAAGTCAGATACAGAGTATACAAATACAACATATAACAGATATCATAACAGAACAGAGCATATATCCATATAATATCAGAGATGTGCGCCGTCATTCCCAAGGGAGGACCCAAGCGGAAATCAGCGCACGTGTTCCCGAGGGAGGACCCCAAAGCGGAACCAGACATATCAGAGGCGTACACCATCAGTCCCGAGGGAGGACCCCAAAGCGGACATCCGGGTACTATACAATCAATGGCCAGAGATTGTTACAGAAATCATATTACAGAAGTCATATTAGAGCAAAACATATCATGTTATCAAATAACTCTATATGAATGCATCTATACAAAGCATCTAAATCACAGCCATACAGTCCAACCATAGTTCACTAACCATGGTGGAGCACTCAAGCAGGAAAAGACTCCTTAAACATAGAGCTTACCTCTTGAAGCTTTACCAATACGCTTACTTGTGGAACAAGTTACTTTTATCGCTTCAAGAGATTTCCGATCCTTCTCAATCCCTAGGCACACCTAGAGAATAATTTACAATGCATCAATAAAATGATGCAATACCATAATTATTTCATAAGCATACATTTTATCGCTTATTTTCCTTTCTTTGCATTTTTGCCAATCCTATGCCAATACACAAGTCTAGACCTCATTATAACCGTTGGTGTTCTTTAATTTAATCAACCATTCCCTTAGGAATTTTCAACATAAATCGTGCTATTTTTCTTCAAAACTCATCACCTTTATACAATTTATTACAACACATTTTATTTAAAATAAAATGTACAAAATATATCCCTAACTACCCTATAGGTCGAACACTACAAGGACATAGGCAAAGGTTCTTTTTCTTCACTTACATGTAACTTACACAAACAAATACATGTTTTCATAAGGTTCCAACTTAATTTTTGGAGCATAAAGTCCCTCCAAAGCCCCACAAGGCCTAAACCTAAGGGCATATTTCATATAATTGTTCCCACTTTTGCATTCTCACTAATTTATCAAATTTCCACTTAATTCCTACACATTAAACCTTCCTAATACTTAAGATAAAATTGTGCACAACATCCTACTCTTCACCTATGATGGCCGAACATGTAGAGGAAAGCATAGCATTTTTTTCTAATTTTTTTACATACACACAAATGCTTATTTTCATTTCTTAAATCCAAAACATCAAAGATTCATCATTAAATCAAAGTTTAATACACAATGCTTTCCTACTAAAACATGCTCATAACTTTTATAACTTAAATCATCAAAATAATACCATGGAAATAGAGGTTTGTTACCTCAAATCAACTACCCAAAGCCTAGAAGACCTACACCAAGAGAATCTCCATCAAAAACTTCATTTTGCCCTCTTGATGAATAGTGCACGAATT